CCCATCAGTAACACACTCTTCATTTTACACTGTCCATTACTCAATGTGTGTGAATTAAAAATATTCCTGGTAGGAATCACTTTATTTGAAGGGTTCCAGGCTGGGGTTGGACTGGGCTTGGAGCAGCCTGGTCTAGTGGAAGGTTGTCCTGGTTTAGGGCAGATTTGGGAGAAAACCTCCAAAGGGGTTCCTCTGGAAAGCAAATTCAAGCGGCCCTTCCCCAGACCAGTTCAGGAAAAGATTTCCTTGGAGAAAAGTGGAAAAAACTGTTTGTTTAACAGGCAAAGCATTCACCAGCACACAAAAATGAACAGTATTGAACAATAACACCTCTCACTGTTCTGCAGAGGTGACACACTCACAGAGTCCCTCATGGGCTGTAGGTCAGCTCAGTCTCTGATCAGTCCCTGATCACAGGTGAGAGCTGTGGGTGCTCTACTGGTGTTCAGGCCAGAGCAGGTCTGAACAGCTCCAAAGAAAAACCACAGTCCAGGGAACTTCTGTGCATCAGTGAGCTAAAAACGAGCTAAAGCAAAGGAGAGCTCTGTCCTGCTGTCTGTCTGTCCGCAAACAGCCCAGTCCAGGAGCAGGAATGTGAGGAGTGAGTGCAGTGTCTGAAAACAAACTGTGCACTTCTTGTCTCCCCCTTTGCTCTCAGAACCAGCCTGAAAGGTGCAAAACTCATTTCTGGGCTAAACAGACCAATGGGGATGCGAGCATCATAAAGTCACCCCAGGAGAAAGATGGGACATAGCAGGGGGTGGAACAAGATGGTCTCTAAGGTGTCTTCCAACCAAAACCATTCCATAATTCTGTGATGTGGAAAAAAATCACACTCAATGCAAATGAAAGGTGTGCACATTCTCACAGTTTGCAGTTATATGAATATTAAAGGCCAGAGGTGTATTCCAAGAGAGGCTTTTTGATGTGATTTCTTTGTAAGGCTGTCAAAGACTTTGCCTTTAAAATCCTCTTTGTGCCTAAGTGATTTCAAATATTCCCAGGTTGTCCTATTAATCGTGTCATCGGGAAAACCAGGGCTTGCTTGAAAGAGCATTGAGGTTCATTATCTGAAATCTCAGAAAGCCCATCTTTAGGAATGAGAGAAAGGCAGGTTCTGGAGTATCTAGATGTTAACAGCTGCCGACTTGTAAAGCCATGCTCAGCCTCTTGACTGGAGAAATATCACATTTTCTCCCTTACAGCATCATAAAATCTTTCAATTAAAATTTTGACACACCAAACAAATACTGAAGGATTGATATGTTTCTGGGTTAAACAGGCATGGTGCAAGCCTTGGGGTAAACTGTGACATTAAAGTTATAGAACAGTTATTTCTTAAATTAGGTTCTTAATTTTTAGGGGGAACTTTGTAACATGACTTGTGCTACACCAGGAGCTGGTGCTAGGAAAAGGATGTTCCCTTAGGCATTTGCTGCTTTGGTTGCATCCTGAACCTCTGATTTCATCTGCTTTGGGCATTTTTATGCTCAGGTGAGAGCCCACCTGCAGAGCTGCCCCAGCCCGGGCTGCTGCCAAAGGCAAGGTGGGAATTGTGTCCCTGTGCCCCTCCCTGAGGTGAGAGCCCACCTGCAGAGCTGCCCCAGCCCTGGGGCCAACAGCAGGAGGACGTGGAGCTGCTGGAGAGAGCCCAGAGGAGGCCCCGGAGCTGCTGCAGGGCTGGAGCCCCTCTGCTCTGGAGCCAGGCTGGCAGAGCTGGGAATGTTGCCCTGGAGAAGGGAAGGCTCCAGGCAGAGCTCAGAGCCCCTGGCAGGGCCTGCAGGGGCTCCAGGAGAGCTGCAGAGGGGCTGGGGACAAGGCCTGCAGGGACAGGAGCCAGGGAATGGCTCCCAGAGCCAGAGGGCAGGGCTGGCTGGGATCTTGGGAATGAGGAATTGTTCCCTGGGAGGGTGGGCAGTGCCCTGGCACAGGTGCCCGGAGGGGCTGTGTCATTCCCATCCCTGAAGTCATTCAGGGCCAGCCTGGACAGGGCTGGGAGCAGCCTGGGACAGGGGAAGGTGTCTCTGTCTGTGGCAGGGGGCAGAACTGGATAATCTTTGGGATCCCTTCCATTCCAAACCGTCCTGTGGTTCTATATTCTCAGAGCTACTTTTGACTTTAGTAGGAGTCATGTTGCCAAATTGCACATTTTCTTTAGTAAAATAACTTCCTTTGAAGAACTAATAGCTTTTAGTTCGTCAGTCTCTTGGACATCTTCATCAGGACAGCTTGTTCATTGATTTTATAGCCATTAAACAAAGCACTCTGTGATAGCTGAAGGGGACAATTACAGGAACAACAACCCAGCAATCTGTTTCACACTTGCTTTCGTCTGCAATCTGCTGGTGTGCTTTAAATACCCGAGCACTCCTCGTGTCCTTTTTCCCAAGTGTGAGTTACACACAAGTTTGCTTACGAACACTCCATTTGTGTGGATTTGTTGGGTTTTTGCATTGTGACAGTATCTACAATCTGCTCAAAATGCCTTTTCCCCGCTTTCTTTTTTTCTTTCAAAAATTAAGGAAAACTTTACCACATGCCTTTTATGGCAGTAAAATTTGACAGTTTCTTTTAGCTAGACTGAGTGCCATAGAAGCTCATACACCCCCTCAGGCTTATCTACATTGACCTCATCGTGCCTTGCCTGCACCCCCAAGTTACAGAAACAGCCCTCAGCAGTGAAAGAGTCTTGAAATTATAGGTGATTTGGCAAAGCAAAGACCATAGAAGGTTCCAGAGGGTGACAATGAGTGGCATAGGGTCTGGTTGGAGGCCTGTCTCCAGTGGTGTCCCCCAAGGCTCTGTACTGGGCCCAGTGCTGTTTGGTCCATCAGTGGTTTGGTGGGGGCTGGCTGGCTCCTGGGCAGTTCCCAGTGACACAGAGGTGGCAGGAGCCCCTCTGTGGCTGCCCTTCAGATGGACCTGACAGCTGGGAGGGATGGGCAGAGAGGAACCTGCTGAAATTCCACAGGGACAAATGCAGGGTCCTGCACATGGGGAGGAGCAGCCAGCAGGTCCTGGTGGACAGCCAGCAGTGCTCTGGGGGCCAAGGAGCCACTGGGACCTGGGGGCAGCAGCAAGAGCAGTGACAGCAGGGTGAGGGGATCCTGCCCCTGTGCCCAGCCCTGGAGGCACCTCTGGAGTGATCCTGCCCCTATCCCTGGAAGCATCTCTGGAGTGATCCTGCCCCTATCCCTGGAGGCACCTCTGGAGTGATCCTGCCCCTGTGCCCGGCCCTGGAGGCACCTCTGGAGTGATCCTGCCCCTATCCCTGGAGGCACCTCTGGAGTGATCCTGCCCCTATCCCTGGAGGCACCTCTGGAGTGATCCTGCCCCTGTGCCCGGCCCTGGAGGCACCTCTGGAGTGCTGTGTCCAGCTCTGGATCCTCAGCATGGAGGGAGGACCTGGGTGTCCTGGAGCAGGGCCAGCAGAGGCTGTGGGGCTGAGCAAGGGCCTGGATCATCCCTGTGCCCGGGAAAGGCTGAGGGAGCTGGGGCTGCTCAGCCTGGAGAGGAGCCCCAGCTGAGAGGGGCCTCAGCCCTGGCTGCCCCTGCGTGTCCTTGAGTGTCCCTGTGTGTCCATGTCTGTCCCTGTGTGTCCCAGTGTGTTCCTGTCTGTCTGTCCGTGTGTCCCCCAGTCTGTCCCTGTGTGCAGAGGTCAGAGCAGGCCCAGACTCTGCTCCAGGCTCTGCTCCAGGCCCAGCGATGGCCCCGGAGCCACGGGCAGGGCCTGAGCCCAGGGAGGGGGTGACACTGGATGGTCCCTAAGGTCCCTTCAATGCAAACCATTCTGGGACTGGGTGATTCTGGGAATCAGTTCCAACAATGTTGCTGGATAACAGCACCTTCCTTTCACCCTCTTCTGTGCTGCATGGGGACACTGGGGCACGATGCATTTTGTGGGGTTTTCTATGGGGTTTTTGAGTGCTGTAAATGATCACTTTGGGCTTGGAGTGTCAGATTGCCCAGAATTAATCAGAAAATGCAGGTGGCAATGATGAGAGTTCTGGAGAGCATTTGGTGGTGCCTCAGTCCAGCTTAAAAATAGAGGATAACTGGTGTTGCTGTAATAGGTAGTGATGGTAAATGTGTAAATCTATGTCAAAGCATTGGGCAGTTCCTGCATTTAAGGTTAAGAGCACTGGGTTTTCTCATGCTGCACAAAGTGTTTGCCTCTTCCCTTACTAAATAGAGACACTGAGTCCCATTGGACCCTTTGTCTCTTGGAATTCTGGCTTCTGCCTTCCCTGTCAGGCTGTGTTGTCACTATCAGACATTAGTCACTGGAGCAAAAAAGAATTGTGTCCACAGCTCAGCTAAAACTGAAATGCTGCTTCCAGCCCAGCTGTGTAGAAAGTATCTGGTTTTTGTGTGTTAAAAAGGGGGAAGCTGCATTGAAATGCTTAGAAGTGCTTAAGAGCAGAATAAAGAGATGTCTTGTGTCATGAGGGGTTGTGGGGATTTGCCCAGGAAAAGGCTTTTTATTTTAATAAAACATTTTGCAATAAGGTCATGTTTGCCATTTTCTGTATTCAGCAAGGAAACAATAAAAAAAGGGGATTATTCAATGGAAACCTGACAGTGTTTTGCTGGTGCTGTTATAAAAAATAGCAACTTCATTCTTACAGTAGTTACATACTGCTGCTAGTTTAATTTTAAAATGATTCCCACAAATCCTATGGAATGGGAATCAGACAGGTGATGACAAACAACAGCTTAAAAAGTATAACTGCTTTATGGAGACTCAGTGAGATCATTTTCCCTCCCAGATGTGTCAGGCTCACATTGTGCATTCAGCTTTACTTCCAATACCTTGTTAAATTGTGGTAATGTGAATATTTACCATTATCTGTATTCTTAAGGCCATTAAAGCCCCCGGAGGTTATTTTTCCATATTCATTGGTGTTCCTTTGTATTGGGCAAAACCCTTTAGATACATTTGTCTTTCATCTTTGTGTCAGAACAATATGATGATAATATTTTTCTGTTTAATAAATTAGCAACTCCTGCGCGAGATGCAACAGATGGCAAGTCGCCCCTTCGCCTCCATCAACGTTGCCTTAGAAACAGATGAGGAGCCACCAGATCTCATCGGGGGAAGCATAAAGGTGAGAGCTGGGGCTCTGGGATGGTCCTCACCATGATTAACCAGGGATGCTGTACGCAGCAATCCCAGATCCTCTCATTTTTGTATATACCTGCAAGAAACTTCTAAGTCTAGGAGGTCCAACAGGTACCATTTTAATTTGCTTTTATCCCTTCAGTTATTCACTTACAACTCTTGGGCTGGTTCAGATTAATGTTATACTGTTGCTGGATTTGAAGTGTTGGGTTTGCCTTGTTAGTTTTTATGCTTTGAAATAGAGAAGAATTTCAGCTTTACACCAGAGAGCACTGGGCTGGAAATAGCTGTAGGTGCTGCAAATAGAAACCCTTCCCTGTGATATCTCAAGACAAGTGTGAATATAATCATGTCTGTGTACTGGATAATGTTAACATATTTCTGATTACAAATATATATTCCAATATATCTTGTGATTAGCAAAGAGGAGCATGAAGAAATCATGGTCATACACCAGGCTGGCACATGCTTACACACAACATGTTGAATTTTTAGTAAAAGAATATTTAAGAGGTGATAAAATAATTTAAAGGTCTTTTTGATGTGATGCTTTGACCAGCACAGACTTTTATACAAAAAGAAAAAATTAAGAACCTGAAAAAACTGATTATTTTTCTTTCTCACCTAAGGCAGCTGGATTGTTTTGTTTTATTTAGACTGAAGTTTTTTTGGAAGTTTTTCTCATTAGGCTTTAAGGTTAAGAAGGGCAGACGTGGATTAGATGTTGGGAAGAAATTCTTCTCTATGAGGGTGGGCAGGCCCTGGCACAGGTGCCCAGAGCAGCTGTGGCTGCCCCTGGATCCCTGGCAGTGCCCAAGGCCAGGTTGGACACTGGGGCTTGGAGCAGCCTGGGGCAGTGGGAGGTGTCCCTGCCATGGCAGGGGTGGCACTGGGTGGGCTTTGAGGTCCCTTCCCACCCAAACCACTCTGAGATTCTATGATTAGTCCAGGTACTAAGTTTCTCACACTTTCTTACTATAATATGAGAGCTAATTCTTTAAAAAAAAACCCAAAAACCTAACGTGTATTTTATTCATTGTAAAGCACATGAAAGTAGTCTGACCCCAAAACTTCTATTTGGTGAGTAATAATTTTTAAATCTTGACCTAAGTACAGGCATTAAGGTTGCCTGTATAGCTTTAGCTCTTCCTTATATATGTGTAAATGTGGTCTGGCATGGCAAGTTTAAATACTTTTCCATGTGATTGGTGTCCTGCACCACCTTCTGGGTGGACACTGTGCAGAAGCAGCTTTTCAATATATTGAATCACAGAATAGTTAAGGTTGGAAAATCCCTCTAAGACCATCAAGTCCAACCACTCCCCCATCCCTGCCAGGGCCAGCACTGCCCCATGCCCACACCAGTACCACAACCACAGGGTGTTCAGCTCCCTGCAGGGATGGGGACTGGAGGGCTGGGCAGTCCTTTCTGGGAAGGCATTTTCCCTAATTTCCAGTCTAAACCTCTCCTGGTGCAGCATTAGGCTGTTTCCTCTCATCCTGTCTTGTACCTATTTTGGAGCATAGTGGAAGTAAAGTAAAATTTGCAAAGGTCCTCAGTAATTCAGGTGATTGAGTATCTGGACCTCTCCTTGGATGCTCTGACTGGTTCTCCTCCCCATTGACTTTCTTTTGACTCCAGATCCTCAGATTTTCTGATTTTTCTATAATTTCCCTGCTTCTTTCATAAGGCTGGTACTGGGAGTCATTACCTCTAACAGCGCACCAAGACCTGGGAATCCACCCTTGGAAAATGGGATTTTCACTCACCAAATCAGACTGAACCTTTATTTCATTGCTCATCAAAAGGCCGTGGGATGTGGATGTTCCTGGGGCTGGAGGCAGATCTGGGAGGATGTAGCCTGGCTGCTGATGGTTTTGGGTTGCAGTCTGTCTGTCTGGAGCCCTTCATCTTCTTCTGTTGTCTGGAAGTAGCTAAAAACACCTCTCCTGTGGAATCAGGCCAGAACAAAGCTGTTCTAAACTTTTTGATCTCTGACAAGTTGTCTGCACTCAAACTACAGAGAGGATAAGCTCCTGGATCTCTTGAGTTCTTATAAGTGTGTTATTCCTCTCTTGTTCTGCTGCCCTCATCTTGTCTGGCCTCCTTGGGTTCCTCTGGAATGGATGGAGAAGCTGGTTTGAAGCACAGTAAGACAGACTGTGGAGAAATATCCTATTTTAGACCCTGAAATCATTAGGAACTGGTAATTACCTCTGTGCTGATAACTCAGATACATGTTTCTTAATCAATTTTGGGCACAGATGAGGTGGTCTGATCATGCAATGGCACAAACCCTGTACAGTAATCTGAAGCCGAGGAGATGAATGGATTTTTCAGGTGCACTTGAAATGTTGTGCCAGTGGTAACTCCATAAAATCAGTCAATGTTTTGGGTTGGAGGGGAGCTTAAAGATCATCCCTTTCCAGCTCTCTGCCATCACCTGCTGGCAGGTGTGGCTGCAGAACAAGGGTGCCTCTACATGACAAGGAGTGTTACTAGGTTTGATGGGGTTTATATAGTTTTTTCTCATCTCGGAGAACTTGGCTAGGGAATAAAAGTAGTCACAAAAGGCCAGAGTGTTTCACAAAAGGAGAGGAGGCTCAGGAAGGTTGTGGGTTGAAAGCAACTTGGGGAATGATGCTTCTGAGATAGTCTGACCTGTTGGTCGCTGCATGGAAATGGATTTAAATAGAAATGAAAAACCAATCTGAATATGTACGGGGTGTTATGGTTTAACACTAGCCAGCAGCTTGGGTTTTTCTCCTCGTCCCTTTTGCACCTGCATGGGAAAAAGCTCTTGGCAGGAGGGAGCTGCAGGAGGATGGGCTGGGGCAGTACAGAATTGGACAATCGTGCTTCTCTTTGTGGTCTGCCTGTTCTTTAACTCTTAGCCAAGGAAAGAGGGAAATGTTACTGTGGTGCTGGATGTTGTATCTGCCCTCCAGTTCCTCTGCCATCCACTATGTCAAAATTGGAGTCTTCATTTTAATTGCAAGAAAGCCAGACTTGCATTATCATGAATTCAGTGATGCTTTTCTTTCCCCATGGGAATCAAAGCTGTTGGTTAATGACGAGTTGATTTGAAGGTAACAAAGGAGAAGTGGAAAATGGTATGTCTTGTCTGCAAAAGATTAATTTCCTATTCCATTGTCCATTGCCAGTTGGCAGCCAGTGTCAAGCTAGTTCCATCCTAAGCTAATGTTTTCCAGCTGGACAGTATTAGAACTGTGTTTTCAATTAGTAGTTTTCCTGGGGTACTTAGGAGTAATAGAAAGTGATTTACCTGCAGGGAAGCAATTCCTATTAGAGGCTGCAGCTAGGCAACACGTTACTAGCTGCTTTGGTTTATTTGCCACTCAACAAATACCCACTGAATCACAAATCTACCACTAAATTTGCTTAGTTATTACAAAATCTGTTGGCTTCTCTCTGCAGCTCTTTGTGCGTTCAGACGTGCTGAATATTGCAATTATTTTTCTAAGTGTGTTTAACTTCCTTGGGTGCCTGGGACTCATCCAAGTGTCTGAACTGGTATTGCTGTAGCTCAGGATTTTTTAGGGCTTGTTATCGGATTAATCTAAGTCTTGTAATCCTCTGCAGCCATGCTTAGAAGCTTTCCCGAAAGAATTTGGGAAGTTTATAATTTTGACATTGATTTCCATCTATCTTGAAGTTGCTAAAGGCAAGAAGTTACCTTGGAAAAAACATGCACAGCCTAGCAAGCAAGTGCTGAGGTTGAGCAAAGCACTTACAGGGTCAACAAGAAAATGGTTGCATTGGGAAAGAATGATCCTCAAATTGGAAAAAAAATTATTTTGGAATCTTTTAAAGGAGAGCTGGAGCAGTCTTTTCTGTGCTGTGTTCAGGGATCCAGCACGTGAAGCCAGTGCTAAGTGTTGATTATCTTTGCACCCATGATCTTTAGTTTCCTAAAGGGAAAGGGAGAAGCATTTGGTGGGCAAAAATCCTTATGAAGTTCATTTAGTGTGTTCTGTACCATTGTACCAATGTGCATTTAAATCGGCTGTTTGAGGGCTTCACTACAAATCCCGAATCAGACAGCGAGCTGATTCCTTAAAAATAGCAGATAAATAGATGGGAAATAGCATCTTATTCTAGTAATTAGTTTGCTTTGTTATGGGAGAAAGTGCTTTTGAGTGGTTTAAAGGCTGCCAGAAGATCCCATCTGTTCATGAAGTGCAGAGCTAAAGTGATGAGCTGATTTGGGAGTGGGTAGGGGGTACCACAGATAAATTAATATATTTTCAGTTTATTTGTATTTTGCATGTGAGCGATACCCTTGTTAAATTCCTTTTATATTGCAATGAAGTGGCAGCCAGCAGTAAAGGAGCAGAGAAATGAGTAGTAAATCCTGTGCCACAGGGTGCAGGGTTTGGGGAAGCTGCAGGGTGAGGAATGATTTAAAATGAAGCATCTGCCAGCCCCAGCACTTCTACAGGGTGAATTCATGTTAATTTTGACATGTGGCTTGATTTTGGGCTGTTTCATGCAGCTGGAGTTCAGCAAAGAACTAAAGGCCGAGGAACTGATGGTTTTTACATCTTTTATCCTGTTCTGGTTGTCACTCTTGATGACTCACTTTCCCCTTTACTTCACATGTTGCTGACCTGCTTTTGGTCCATGAGATTTGCTGATGGACCAGCTTTTGTGACATCTCCCAGCCTACGCCCCTTCAGTGAGCTGGGTTAGTGTAAGCATGGCAAGGACAGCTCCAGCGAGCTGAGACTGGGGCTCCTGTGCAACAGGAGGATTTGGAGGGAGGCCAGGCATGAGGTGTGATGCACAAAAGCCTCATCAAGCAGAAACGACCAGGCTGTGTCAAATCATAGAATTGGTAAGGCTGGAAAAGGCCTTTAGATTACCACGTGCGTTCATGGACACAGCACCACCACTGCGTTCACCATTAAACTGTCTTCAAGTACCACATCCATAAGGTTATTGAGCATTTCCTTGCATGGTGA